GGCGTGGCAGGTATCACAGCAACAAGCCATGTGACATCGTCATGAAGGAGACACCAGGGCACAGCATGCAATCACAGTGCAAAGCAAGACAGCGTTGGAAAACAAAACAAAACAAAACAAAAAAACAAAAAACAAAAAACAAAAAAAAAAAAAAGAAAAGAAAAAAAAGAAAAACGAGAGAAGGGGAGAAGCCAATTACAATTGTAATTAAGGAAAAAACTAAAACATTCTCAACACTTAGTACATTTATAAGCAGAACAATGATGTATTAGACTCCGAGGGCCAAATTTCCAAAGGGGGTGGGGTGGGAAGAGGGCAGGGTTTGCTAGCAAAAGCCCACATCAGCGTGCCCCGTGGGGAGTTAAGACTCACGGCCAAGTGCATGGTCTTGGGTGGACCCACGTTGGCAAGCACGTCCGCCTCCCCAGCTTTGAAAGTTTGCCCCCCCAACTCATGACTTCAAAGTACATGGTGCACGTCGGAGCAAATCGCCCGACAAGACGTTGTCGTCACGGCACAGCGTTACAGCTACGACCCCCACTGGGTAACACGGCTAGCAGCGGCAACATCCCCGGGAAATGCGTTCTCTTGCCTCCTGACAACAAGGGCCTTCTCCTCAGTACAGTACAGAGTTGCTGGCACTGGGCATGCGTAACGGGTTGCCTGACGTACAAATTCACCATGTTTTCTTTTCTATGCAATGCTAGAGGATTTTGCAAAAATTCCCTCTGGGGTCAGGGAGGCCGGGGGCGGGGGGTGCTGGGAATAATAATAGTAATAATCAATTCCAAACGTTGACAATGCAACTAAACAGAACGAGTGCCAGAAACGATCTACGGACAACCGTGACACACGGTGGAGATCTGTCATCTTCCCGGCAGACTACAGATGCTTGGCTTGGATACAAGGCAGCGGTTAGAAAAGGAAGCACTACCAACACATGCACTTGCATGCCAGGGGACAGCGCTCTGGAAGGGGAAGGGAGGCACCCTGCTCCTGGGACCCTCGCGGAGAGGGGGCTTTACAAGGAGCAGCTTGTAAAGTGGTACAAGGAGCATCCCTCATAAGTGTCTGGGATGAGGAGAAGAGCGCGGGAGTCTTCTCCCCACTGCAGACGCGGTAGCATCAGCAGGAGTTTGAGGGGTTGCAGACCAGAGCCCTCTGTCCCAGTCCTAGCTTGGCTTGGGGATGCTCTGGGGTGCCCAAAGTCCACTCAGAAAAGCATGCAGGAATTAGTCTTGAGAGCCACGAGGTCCTGATCCTGATCCTAGCTGTTGGCAGCCCCTCTGTTCACAAGCAGTGAGCAGGCTCGTGTATAGGATTTGGCGTCATAATCTAACAGCGTACCAGGCTCCATCCATTTTAGGATTCCAGCTTTCCTCTTCCCAATTGCAACTGGTACAGGAGAACTGGAATGCACTGGTCTAGCTTCCTCCCAGCAGGGAACCCGCCTTTAACCTGCCCCGCTCTGCCCACCTCCTGCAAATGGGGACAGTGGGAACTCCGTCACAGGTTTCCAGAGCAGCGGCTGCCCCTGCCTAGGGCCTGGGCACTTGGGATGTGTGTGGTTACCCACTGTTTTTGTACGCTTGCCCTGAGCCCCTCTTTTCTGCATGGGGTCCAGGCCTGCTGTGCTGCACCCATGGCACGGTTCTTGTTGCCTACAAAGCAGGCAGCTCATTTCCTCCACAGCAAAGCCAGGTTTTCAACTGGTGCAATGCAGCCTGGCTCGGTGGCCTGCCCAGAGCCATGCCGACTTACACCAGCTGAGGGGATGACCCTAAGGATCTCTCATGGTAGGATAATATGCCTGAAAAGGAGATTAGCCTTTTAAAGGATAAATGATCCTTAGAAGCATGACTAACATCCAGCTTGCAACACACTGCATGCCTGACATAAAAGAACCAGGAAGCCTCCCACTGCTCTTCCCTTGTTCTGCGCGACTGAATTGGGTTGCAAAGATCCTTGCGTGCAAGATCTTTGTCTCTGCAACAGAACGGATGGGGTGGGCACTTCTGGCTGGGGCTTGCTCTTGTTAGTCACATAAATCACTGCACTGCACAGAAATTAAAAGGACACAACCATTTTAGCCTTCAAGACACAGCGGATCATCAGTCACACCACTCAGCCACCCGAGTTCTCACGGACGCGCAGCAACTCGCTGTCTCTTTCAAGTTAGGAAAAGTTGAGAAGTTTGTGTAGAAAAACCTACCAACGCTTGCAGTGGGTGTCATGCACAGTACTGACCCTGCACACCATGCAGTGAAGCGTGGAAAGATGAACAAAAGGGATATTTCATTAGTGAAGCTTTAGTGTTAGAAATAACTTTAACTCAAAGCAGGTACTTTCTTTGCAGCATTCATTACCTTGCACATGCAAAACAGATTCTGCATATTGATACATCATTATTTTTAAACTGAGTTCTAAGGTCACAGCAAACCAAAATAATTCTTGGCTTCTTGGGCAGAAAATATATGTTTCCCTCTCTACCCCCCACCAGCAGTTAATGAGGGGCTCCACTATGAGGAACAGAGCCGGATCGGATAATTTGGTATCAAGCAGGCTGATTTCTCTGCGTGGGAGGGTATCTCAGCTCAAGACATGCAAACTGATGGCGTCTGAGGCTGCAGTGTCACGACTGCAAGACCTGTGGGTCTGCTTGCCTTCGAACAAACTTTTCAAAAGGAATTTACTCAGCCAGCAGGTGTTGTGGTTTCCAAGTCTCTACTTGAAGCTGAAAGAGGCAGTTTGGTCTTGAAATAGTCCCAGTCGTGATACAATCTCAGAAATAAGCAGCGGCCTTCCCCACAGGAGACAACCATGCGACCGAACTGGGAAAAACTCCTTTTGAAGCAACATTTCTCTGGCCTGCCCGCACCCTGAGACAGTCTGCCCTGAAGGGTGGAGAAGGGTCTTTGCAGCCCCGAGGGAACCTGCATTTCCCAGGCTCACCTTTGGGGCAGGAGAAAACCATCCCATTTACTTTGGGGTGGGTGGTTAGGTCTGTCCAGGCCAAGGCTGCAGCAAGTGGCAGCAGCCCCAACGCTACAAACGGGGGATTTGAGGGTGTGGAGTGGACAAAAGCTGGATTTACAGCTAGTCTACATCGCTGCACAGATTTTGGTTAGTGCATCCTCCACAGAACAGGCATAAGCAGCCAGGCACAGCAAATGGGTTTCGGGATCCTCAGTCCTGGCTGAGGAGAGACCTCTTTAGGGTCTGACCACGCTGACCCCCCAAGAGGGGAAGCGCGTCCTTTGGCATCTACCGGAGCCATGCAGGGCATGTGCCTTTGCTCCGCTTGCGGGACATGAGCAGCGGCTGAATGGGAAGAACATGCCTCGGCGTGCACCGAATGCCGAACATTCATGGGATAACTATGCCCTCCTTTTGCCAGCACCTTTGGGGATGCACAAGCCAGGGGCTTGGCTCCTGGATGATGGGTTTTAGGTTCAACTGTCCTGCAGAGGAGAAGATCTGGCTGCCAGGGTCTCTCTTGCCTCTGTTTGGCCACGGACATGACTGGGCCCGCTCTGCCTCAACTGAAAAGGTGCTGATTCAGGGCAGGATTTCTGCTTATATTCCAGCAAATCTCATTTAATGAGCAAACGAGGCGTTCAACATTAAAAAAAAAAAAATTAAAAACCAGGCAGCAATTTTTAAGCGATGCTTCAGCAAGGGAATAATGACATCGCCAGCAGTCTGCAGACTCCAGAAAATTCCTCAATCAGCCATCGATAATACCTACAATGCTGAGCAGATTTCCGTTTTTCATTTGACTGCCTTGAATACATGTTAATTGGCTAGTTAGGAATCCTCCCCCCGAGTCAATAGTCCTATATGTGTCTGAATTACTGAACTGCATCTTTCATTTTTGCTCTGAGACCTGAAAGGCACAAGAAAAGCCTGGGAGTGAAATTGCTTTTAAAAAGCTTGGGCTATCACACCGGCAAGAGAGAAACATGTCTTTAAGGATGGGTGCAATTTGCATTTTATTAAAAACAAGCCGTTTCCTCTCTCAACGTCGCAGTGGCTGGAGCGTCCAGGTCACAGAGATGCAGTCACAAAGACCAGGCACCTGCTGCTTTAAAGAGGACAGGCTCCTTCACCGTGGCAGGGCATAAAATATGTCAAAGCATGCGCATGACAGCGCTACCCAAGAGTCAAGGAATTAATTTGGGATTAACCAATTGAACCATAACAAGGAGAAACAGGAAGCGTAAATTTGAGAAACAGGTGGGCTATTTCCTTAGTTTGATTACCCAAAGAGGGTGGGAAGCTCGAGAAGGTATCTTTAAAAGCAAGCAGCTTTGAATAGTTGCTGGTGACAAACATTAAGCGGTGACATGTCTACAGGAGCAGACCGCGCCACTGCTTTGGATTTATCCTGCGAACGGCTCTTACAAGTCTGCTCCATAACTCTTATCTCCGTATCGGAAAAGACATGAGAAGCACCGGGGAAATGCACCGAGAGACTTACCTGTCGGGATAAACGTAGGCTGTTGCAACTGCATGTTGGCTAGAGCCTGTTGGTAGTGGAAAACGCTCGGGTTAAAGACTGTGGTGGCACCATTGTTTTTTTCAAGTGCTGGCCTCTTTGGTAAAGGTTGAAGTGCACCAGGTGGCAGGGCCTGCGGACGAGGGAGTCATTAAAGGCGAGTAGCAAAACCAGGAAACCCAAGTTAGACAAAGCATGCAATAAATAATATGAAGTCAGGCCTGCCAATCACCTGCAACTGGGTCAACTTAGCAAGACAGGAAAGAGCAGCTAATCACGGTGAAAGAGTAGGTGAAGTCACAGGGTCACTAGATAAGCAGTTAGTAAAGATGGAAAGAGAGAGAGAGAGTCCAAAAAACAGGAGCACTAGAAATACTACGGAAGCTTTCCAATAGCACCGATTTATGCGTGTCAGAAAAGGAAGGGGTTTCATCTGGGCCCGACAAAAAAAGCGGTGGCAGGCAACAAGCATTTTAAAAGCATCCGCTCACAGCAGCAGAGTCGACTCTTTCAAGTGAGAAGATCAGCAAAAGCAACAAATGCAACAGAAACCCCCCCCCCCCCCCGAGGGGCTTGCTAACGTTGCCCGTTTAAAAACCTGCCTGCCTGCCTGGGC